GGGTGGGGGGGGGGGGGGGAACATTGGATGGGGCTGTCAGTGCTCTATTCCTGAGAGTAATAAGTGTATTGCTCCCAAGCAGGAATATGGAGCAGTCAGCTAGAGTGGCTCAATCCTCAGAGTGCATATAAACAGGTTCTCCATCTCTCGTTAAGCAATGTGCATATCCACATTCTGTCCTAAAGCATAATACATCAAGTCATGTTGAAGTGGTTTTGGGCAGGATCACAGTGGTGCAAAGGGGGACTGGTTTAATCCATCTCCAGGTCCATAAGCTTGTTACGGGGACGGGGCGTGTGCATGGGGTTCCTGGAGAAACAGCAGTGGGCGACAGCAAGACCCAGCAGCACTGAGAGAAGACCAGCGATCACAGCAGCAGTCAAACCGTATCCCACCGGCATCTTCAAAGATTCCCACACTGCAGAATAACAAACAGAATGATCACTGGCAATCACAAACTTTCATAACGACACCAGATATGAGAAAATATCTAATCTATGGAAGCAAAGTTTGGGAGGAGCAACTGGGGATGTTGAGTTCCCACAGTCTTTGAGAACATAAACGCTGAAGAGGCGATATGAAGTCATCAGTTCCTCACATGCAAAAGCATACAATTTTTGGGACCTTTTATTTGTTCAGGGTAGGGGTCTCCAATCCTGCAGACTTAAGTTCCAGCTCTGCTCTAACACACCTGCCTGTAATTATCAAGCAACCCTGAACACACTGTTTAGCTGGTTCAGGAGTGTTTATATGGGGTTGGAGCTGAAATTTGCAGGACAGTTACTCTCTAGAAGCAGGGTTGGAAACTGATGTAACAAGTTTTTCCAGGCTTGCTATCTTTTTCACTATAGACATAACCAGGATTCTTACATTCTATTTTGATAAACAGAAATGATGAAGTGGAGATGAGGTCCTTCTCTTTGTTCCAGGCTCCAGTAGCGGGGGACAGGAGCCAGGGTGTGGCAGAACAGTAGTATTCTCCCACATCTCTATCCTGAATCTTGTGCAAGCTGAGGATAAACGTGTGCATGTCGGTGCGCTCCAGACTGGTGTCATTGGAGCCGGTCTTCTTTACCACTCCCCAGCGGTCCATACTGATGAGAGGTTGGACTCCATTATTTACAGCCCGGTCTGTGTTCTGGAACCAGCGCACGTTAAACGCCATATCACCTGTGGGACGGACAGAGTAAAGCTAATTATTTAAGTCAACATGGAATCAAATTGACAATTAAATCCCTTCTGTTTCACAATCTAGTGTCAAGTGTGATCAAGTGTTGCTCTACAATATATGTAACCGGATATCCTGTTTCACTCACAAATATGTCTGATTATAGAATGGGTGGTATTCTACACTGACTTTAATCATGAGAGGTAACTCCAGCATAGGTGGAGCCAATACGATTGTTCATAGGTGTTCTGTTACAACGCTCCAAACAGCCATGCTGTTGCTGCAGCTTATTCAAGCAAGTGTGTGCAATAACCACAAGGGTATTCAAGTCATGTATGGAAAGAAAACAAAACTAAACAGTGTTTTTCAAGTGGTTCAATACCATATACACTCCCTGATGATCCAGAGTGAGGCAGCAGCAGTCAAGACAGACTCAAGCAGGCCTCTACACGCTGTCCTCACTGCTATGTGTGGAATCTCAATGAAGGCCATTGGGTAATCAGAAACTGACAACCAGGAGCGCAGCTCAAACCCACCACAATTCACCACAGCATTCTGCTACTCATCAAGTAAAAACCAAGCCTATATCTCATAACAGAATCCCATGTGAACAGCAGAAAACTTAAGATTATTAAAGTGTATGGATCCTCAAATTTATTCATGAGTTTGTGACATATTAATTGTTCACAATTGTAGAATTGTTTTAGTTATATCTTGAAAATTATACACTATATATTGATATTCTCTGACAAGAGTTTTTTTTTCATAATTTCAAACAATTAAAATATAGCTATTACTGTTTTTATATATGTATATATAAACTTTTAAGTATACATACACATACCTTTTAAAAGTTTGGGGTGCTTAAGATTTTATACATGATTTGAAATTACGTGTCTTAGGCTCATCGATGCTGCATTTATTTGATCAAAAATACAGTAACAATGGTAATATTGTGAAATAACAGTTTTCTGTGTTAATATATTGTGAAATGTAATTTATTCCCGTGAAGCAAAGCTGGATTTTCAGCATCATTACTCCAGTCTTCAATGTCACATCTTTCAGAAGTAATTCTAATATGCTGATTTGGTGCTCAAATACATTTATTAAAATTATCAATGTTATAAACAGTTTTCTTTTTTTATAAACTGTCTTTACTGTCACTTTTGGTCAGGTAATAATAAAAGTAATAATTAATATCTTAACCCCAAAGTCTATGCGTGTATATATACATACACACAAGAATGTTGAGATATAACTTTTATCGTGTATATCGCCTGCTCTCTATTATACAGTAATCAATTACCTTACAAATAGATCTCCAAATTAGATTTAAGATCCACTCCAACTGAAATGACGCTAGATGGGAAATTAAGGAAAGGCTTTGACACCGTGGCCCTGATCAGCTTTACATACATATATTTTTTCACCAGAGGAATGACAGCCCCTGACTAGCACTTACTTCCGGGCCCAAGGGTGGATGAACGGCACTCATAAAGGCTGGGTTGATTGTTCCTCACATTTGCTGGATGGTTGTGTCTTTTCTACATTTAAGCTGTCTGTAGTGACTAATGACTGTACTGCCTCAAGATGACATCAAGACAACATGAACTATGAGAGAGAAATGCATCAAAGCCTAATAAAGGGGTCCTCAAACAATCCAATTGTACGTTTTAACCAATTACAGTAGTATTCTCCCACATCTCTATCCTGAATCTTGTGTAAGCTCAGGACAAACGTGTGTTGGTCGGTGCGCTCCAGACAGGTGTCATTGGAGCCGGTCTTCTTAACCACTCCCCAGCGGTCTATACTGATGAGAGGTTGGACTCCGTTATCTACAGCCCAGTCTGTGTTCTGGAACCAGTGTACATCAAATGTCATATCACCTGTGGAACGGATAGAGTAAAACTAATTATTTAAGCCAGCATGGAATCAAAATTGACATTTAAACATCTTCTGTTTCACAATCTAGCGTCAAGTGTGATCAAGTGTTGCTCTACAATATTTGTAACTGAATATCCTGTTTCACTCACAAACATGTCTGATTATAGAAGGTAAATGGGTGGGATTCTATACTGACTTTAATCATGAGAGGTAGTTTCACGTGAATGCCAAGGTGGAGTCAATACGATTGTTCATAGGCGTTCTGTTGCAACACTCCAAACAGCCGTGCTGTTGCTGCGGCTTATTCAAGCAAGTGTGTGCCATAACCACAAGGGTATTCAAGTAGTGTATGGAAAGAAAACAAAGCTAAACAGTGTCTTTCAAGTGGTTCAATGCCATATACACTCCCTGATGATCCAGAGTGAGGCAGCAGCAGTCAGACAGACTCAAGCAGGCCTCTACATGCGGTCCTCACTGCTATGTGTGGAATCTCAATGAAGGCCATTGGGTAATCAGAAACTGACAACCAGGAGCGCAGCTCAAACCCACCACAATTCACCACAGCATTCTGCTACTCATCAAGTAAAAACCAAGCCTATATCTCATAACAGAATCCCATGTGAACAGCAGAAAACTTAAGATTATTAAAGTGTATGGATCCTCAAATTTATTCATGAGTTTGTGACATATTAATTGTTCACAATTGTAGAATTGTTTTAGTTATATCTTGAAAATTATACACTATATATTGATATTCTCTGACAAGAGTTTTTTTTTCATAATTTCAAACAATTAAAATATAGCTATTACTGTTTTTATATATGTATATATAAACTTTTAAGTATACATACACATACCTTTTAAAAGTTTGGGGTGCTTAAGATTTTATACATGATTTGAAATTACGTGTCTTAGGCTCATCGATGCTGCATTTATTTGATCAAAAATACAGTAACAATGGTAATATTGTGAAATAACAGTTTTCTGTGTTAATATATTGTGAAATGTAATTTATTCCCGTGAAGCAAAGCTGGATTTTCAGCATCATTACTCCAGTCTTCAATGTCACATCTTTCAGAAGTAATTCTAATATGCTGATTTGGTGCTCAAATACATTTATTAAAATTATCAATGTTATAAACAGTTTTCTTTTTTTATAAACTGTCTTTACTGTCACTTTTGGTCAGGTAATAATAAAAGTAATAATTAATATCTTAACCCCAAAGTCTATGCGTGTATGTATACATACACACAAGAATGTTGAGATATAACTTTTATCGTGTATATCGCCTGCTCTCTATTATACAGTAATCAATTACCTTACAAATAGATCTCCAAATTAGATTTAAGATCCACTCCAACTGAAATGACGCTAGATGGGAAATTAAGGAAAGGCTTTGACACCGTGGCCCTGATCAGCTTTACATACATATATTTTTTCACCAGAGGAATGACAGCCCCTGACTAGCACTTACTTCCGGGCCCAAGGGTGGATGAACGGCACTCATAAAAGCTGGGTTGATTGTTCCTCACATTTGCTGGATGGTTGTGTCTTTTCTACATTTAAGCTGTCTGTAGTGACTAATGACTGAACTGTACTGCCTCAAGATGACATCAAGACAACATGAACTATGAGAGAGAAATGCATCAAAGCCTAATAAAGGGGTCCTCAAACAATCCAATTGTACGTTTTAACCAATTAGGGGACAGTGAATTAAAAGCCTTGATATGATAGTCATGATGTTTGATGCTGAAGTGCTATAGCAAACAACCACAGCTATGTGTTAGACCAGCTTCACAGGCGTTTTCTATGAACCTGAGATCAAATGGAGCCTAAGGGAGCAACACTGCCCTTATTCTCAACCACTGTGAACAACAACTAGGCCAAAATTAGCCGGAAAACAAGGAAATGTTCTTTCTGCTTTAATCGAGCCCAGAATAAAAGAAGAAACCCACTCAGAACTCATGAGTAACTCTGACTGTACTCATGGGTACTTTCATCTTCCGGCCTTCCGCTACCTTTCAGCTGAAGCACATGTTCTTGGCTGCATTACCTGAGTACATTAGTCAGCCTGTGTGCAAGAACAAGCAATGTAGACATTAAGATTTATGAATTTAATTAAAAATTAAACATTGTACTGCGATTTCACAATACAATGCTGTAGAGGAACAGTTCACCCAAATGTAGGTGAACATCTCATTCCCAACTCATATTCTACTTTCTTTCTTTTTTTTTCAGTGGAACACAAATGTAATTCTTTGCACAGCTCATGGTAGATAATTCACCCAAAAATGAATATTCTGGCATCATTTACTCACTGTTGTTCCAAAACTGTACATCTTTATTTCTTCTGTGGAACATAAAGGATGATAAACATTGTTCAATGTTCCATTGACAATAGAAGTCAATGGGCTTGTTTGCTTCCCAATGGTTTGGAACAACATGAGCGTGGTAGACATTAAGATTTATGAATTTAATTAAAAATTAAACATTGTACTGCGATTTCACAATACAATGCTGTAGAGGAACAGTTCACCCAAATGTAGGTGAACATCTCATTCCCAACTCATATTCTACTTTCTTTCTTTTTTTTTCAGTGGAACACAAATGTAATTCTTTGCACAGCTCATGGTAGATAATTCACCCAAAAATGAATATTCTGGCATCATTTACTCACTGTTGTTCCAAAACTGTACATCTTTATTTCTTCTGTGGAACAAAGGATGATAAACATTGTTCAATGTTCCATTGACAATAGAAGTCAATGGGCTTGTTTGCTTCCCAATGGTTTGGAACAACATGAGCGTGAGTAAATGATGATAGAATTTTCATTTATGGGTGGACTATCTCTTCTATTTGCTTTTTGTTTCTCAATCAAAACGTATTGTGTGACCTTAGAAGCTTTGGAATACAGTGAATGAGTTGTGTGGAAAATATGACATCAAACAGCATTAGAAAGACATGGGGGTGAGTAAATGATGACTGAATTTTCATTCTTAGGTTAACTACGCTTTTAATGGACAAATCCTCAGAGACATACTGCACAGTCTACTGCCTCTTGACTCCCTGAGGATTACACTTAAAGAAACACAATAGAAACACACACCTCTCTTCCTTCAGGGTGATAATCTTTTAAAAACCTGACAATAAAACCAGCACAAAAACATCTCTCGTTTCTCTATAGTGTATATTGAAAAGAGAAGTTTGAACATTGTGCTGACATGTATCTATGACTACAGCATGTGTGTGCCTGTCTGTGGCTACAGACTGATGAGGAAGGAACGTTGTACGTGTTATTTTGAGTATTACCAAACATTCAACCACAAGAGTGCAACAATTCTGACTGATACGATCACAGCAGGCTAAGCAGGCTGCCTGCAGCTCTGTATCACTTGATCACTAAAAAACTAAGCATCCAACCATTCACATCTAATACAGCTCATTGCATTCCCTGTAGGAAACAGCTGTGCTTGAAAGGCAGCAAAATTACAGTTTTAGGTTTTACACCACGTCTAAACCATTTGTGACATGACAATATTCCACAGACGAGCAATTAGTCTGCCCACACCAAATCATATTTTAAAATCCATTGTGCAGATTTTCACCAAAAATGTGTGCAAAAAGTATGCTTGCTCTGTTGACTATGACTGTTTCAAATGTAATGTTAATGCACTTTTATAAGATTGCTAAATGCTCTTTATAAAGACAATTCAATTTCCTACCTCACATAACTGTGCATAGAGTATTAATGATGAGTAACTATCAAGCAACAGGAACACAAGGAAAAGACGCTTTGTCACTCCAATGCAGGATGTGACTCAGGGGGTAAAGTTCAGGTGATAATTTACAACTGGCTCCGATTAGTTTATAATACCAACTGTGATTAACTGCAAAAACACACCCACAAAGCATGAACAACAGCATGTGACTTTGAAGAAAAAAGGAGACTGATAAAGAAAGGGGGGTATTAGGTGCCGATAAACAAACTGAACGTAGATGCCTTAATTAAGAAGTTAAACATGGATATTGATATTAATACATGCCATCCAGAGAGCTTACAAGGTCAGAATGGATTAAGGCAAAAAACAGAGCAGAAATAAATAGACACTAAAATAACTGGTGAGAAGCTAAAGTGTTTTACAAAAAAACCTTTAAATAATTAAAATACCTAAGAAAGCACTTGGTTACTTCTGAGATTCTGTTCCTTTTATAAATCAAAGCTAGTAGTAGAATGTGACATAAAATGAACTGGGAGATATAAGTTCACTGGGGATGTATCTCAAACAATCTGTCAGGAACACGTCAAATTTTTCCCCGAAAATATATTTCTGTACAGTAAAATCTAATTCTCATTACTTCAATGTGTCTAAAAATAAAGATACAGTGATCCTAAAAAAGTATTTTGACATAAACTCAAACAATCTGTCAGGAACACGTCAAATTTTTCCCCGAAAATATATTTCTGTACAGTAAAATCTAATTCTCATTACTTCAGTGACAAATGATACAGTGATCCTAAAAAAGTATTTAGACATAAATCACAATTAAAATGAATGAATTGCATTAGATATTAAAACACCAACTAAATCCTATTTGATATATAACAAAAACAAGCAGAAGGTTTTACAAAAAGAAGTTTGAAAGGTTTGAAATTAGAAGAGAGAAAAACTCCAGTGGCATTTATTTAAATGACATTTAGCTTGATCTTTTTTTGTTTTTTTTATGCTAAGAAATTAGTTTATCTTAAACTTTCTAAAAACTGTATATTATATAAATTGTATTTATACAAAATATATAGACATTACACAAACAGTACTTGCCAGTGTTAGGAGAAGCATCCAGGACGGATATGACGCACTTCATTTGGACTGTGTCCCCCGGTAACACATTGTTTGCTTCTGAATGAATGGATATGTTGAATACTGGACCTGCGTGAGAAACAAATATTTACGGTTTTAAAAGTCTACCTAGATTTCAGAGTCTTTAACTGGATGTTCATATTTGAGAGAGAGAGAAAGAGAGAGAGAGAGAGAGACAGAGAGAGAGAGCGAGCGAGAGGGTCTCCCAAATCCTATTGGTCTGCCTCGCTATCTACTGCCTAAATAGGCAAGTGTCTTTTAAGGCAGCACCTGAGAGAGAGAGAGTGCGAGAGAACGAGAGAGAGAGAGAGAGCGAGAGAGAGAGAGAGAGAGAGCGAGAGGGGCTCCCAAATCCTATTGGTCTGCCTCGCTATCTACTGCCTAAATAGGCAAGTGTCTTTTAAGGCAGCACCCTAATGGAAACTAAACCTCAAAAGTGACTGATTTGTAAAACTCTACATAGTGAACAACTCTATGTGCTACAAAAGAGAGATCTGCCTCTTGAATTGATTTCAAAAGTTTGCCGTTAGCATGTTGCTAAGCAAATGATGCAATATTGCACACAAAAATATGCAGCACACACAAATGTTGGGTACAATGGTCAATTTTAAAGGGGTCATATGATGCGATTTCAAGTTTTCCTTTCTCTTTGGAGTGTTACAAGCTGTAGAGGGCCTACAATAATGTACAGTATTTGAAAAATAATGTGTTTTTTGAACATTAAAGCATGTCAACATATTCTGTTACACCAAATACACAAAATAATGATCTTTAAAAAAAGCATCAAATGACCCCTTTAATTATTCTGAACTAATATTATAGATACATAACCATGAATACATATCAACAAATTATTTTTTTTAAGCTTTTGCTTGACTTGAAAAAGGCGTTTGCTAACAAGTGGCTAAATGGGACTAAAGGTTGTTGGGGACATTAAAAATAATTTTGCCGAACAGGTAAACATTTACTCACTAGTCCACAACCTTATTGTGTTTATGATCGTGCTTTTGCAAACTATTCTACATCAAACTTTCAGGGAAATTACTTTAAAAAAAAAGACTAAAAGAGTTGTGGGAAGCTTAGTGATTGTGACACTGAAGTCATGAGATCGTGGTGTAGTTCGTTTAAAGCCTACAATTAGCTTTTTACTTCTGGTGATTGTATTCCAGCTTCAAAATTCATAAAAGTTCAGTTCTGAACATTATCACGATGAACAAAGCATTTAAGAATCATAAACTTTTGCTGATCACAAAGCTTATGCTCCACAATAATCCAAAAGTCAATAGAAAACTGGAACCAAGGTGATGTGAACTTCTGGGTTGGCCTATAAAAATACGTCATCACTCCAGCACTCTACATATATTTCACGCATTTTGTCTGCTACCTGGGATTTATCATGTGAATTTGGCCTTAATTTAGCTTTTGGAACCAGCTTTCAGATCAGGAGCCTGTCTATGATGTTTTAAAAAGCTGCCTATGAACGAGAGAGAGTGACAGTGTCTCTGTAGGCAGCAGGAATCTGCCCTGAGGGAAAGACTATAGAGGTCTAGTCATCCAGAATCAGACAGAACGAAGGGACTACAGAATTAGAGTGTGTGAGAGGGTAACATGACCTCAGCTGTAAACATACCTACAGGCAATTCAGCATCATCCTTTTGAGTATTATGAGTCGTGTAGTTAGCATGATAATACCTGTGTGTACAAAGTCGATCTGAATCTTGTTGGACTCCGTACTGATGGCTTTGATCCAGTCTTGGGTCTGATCCCGTGTCCAGGCCGTGACGTCGCAATAATAGAACCCCCGATCTGTGACCTGGGCCCCATACAAACGGAAGCGGTACTCGAGTTGCCCGGTCTTCTCCAGAACCACGCTGTCAATGCGGCTCGGCTCGCTCCACTCCTCTAGCTGCAAGACTGAGTCTTGGCTAAGAGACAACACTTTGCGGGACTTGCCTCCCAAGATCTCCTCAAAGCGAATGAGCACAGAGTAGCCGGGATTCTTCAGGTTCTGACCAGTCAGCTGACAGCTCATCTCAAATGTGGATCCACCAGTCGAGGCTTCTCTCACACGATGGGCTGCTACTCGCAAAACTGGTACTAAAAAGATCACATAAATACTCATTAAACTATTGCAAAATACAGTTTGAGAACAATCAACTTTCGTCACAGAGTTTTACCTATGAAATATAATTTTGAGTGACTTTTAATATATTTATATCGGTTATCGGCTTGCAAAAATAAAGAGTAATCGGTTATCGGTATCGGCCAAAATTTTCATATGCATCCCTAATATTTATAGTTTCCAGGAGCTGCACAAATCATTTCTTTTTCCTATTTCACATGCACACATCAGTATCTGCTTAAGACCTCATATTTGGAGGCTCTGTAGTCAACTTTGAAAGAGATCTCTTGGATTTATTTGATGGAGATTTATTGGAAATCCCTCAAAAATGTATGAGGCTTCATCTGAACATCATCTGATCATATTTTGGTAAAGAATTGACCATTTTTAGGAGCAGCATCAAAACAATTATAGTAAATTAAGTTTCTAGATAACACTTCAGGGGTAATAAGCTGTTGGTAAAGTGACCAAAAAAAAGAGACCAAAATTGCCATCAGGAATGTTTAGACACTCCTCAATTAGTGTGCCAAATTTCAAATTTTTTCCATACAGTTCTTCCCTTCCAGAAATGGAAAACGAAGAACACTAACAGATTTAAAAGATGCCGTCACTCCTTATTAGGTGCTTGCCACCATGTACATTTTGTCAGTATCAGATATAGCTTCAGAACACAGCCTAAGTGAAATCAAGGGTGCAATGGAGAGTGTCCAGACCAAGACAGAGCGGCCATTGTGTGCTAAATATGCCTTCACAGAGAAGACGCCATCACAAACACAATTAAAGCCATTTACTCTAATTCCTTATTGAAAGCTGAAAAATGAGAGACATTGGAGACTTTCAAACATCAAGCTTTGATGCATGCTTTTTAAAACAGTGCGCTTAGTGATACAACTGTCACAGTTGCTGGGAGCACTTAGCTCATGGGGTAAAAATGAAATATCAGAAGAGTGACCGCAAATACTAAAAACAGTCTGGGGACAGTTAAGTAAAAGCCCGAAACATACTATTCAAAAATTTAAGAGGGCAAACTATTTTAGCTAGCTACACAAACTGTGTGGTTGATTTCGGAATGCAACACAAAATACGAGTTGCATTGCTGCAATGAGCAGACATTAGCATCAGCAGTCTTCTGTGTCCAATTTTCTCCTTGAGAGCAATTACGGTCAAGGTAGAGCAACCGTTTGAAGAGAATCTTGCGGATCCTTGCTAATTGAATAATAAAACATCTGATTTGAAGGAACAGGCATTTAAAGTAACTCTATCTCCTAGTTGTGTAAGCATAAAGAGCAGTAATGCAGTTCAAGAACATACATACTCTTAATAGGACCAAACACTTCAAAATGTGTTGGCCAAGCAGTCAGGTTTGCATACTCGCTTAAAGTATGCTTCTGGCTAAAGACTTCAGCAACATGTTGAAAGTGTTTCATGGCCAAATTTACCAAATTATATCTTACAGACCTAAAGGGAAGCTTCAGAAAGAAAAAGGCCCAAAATTTAGTGCTTACTCTTTGGTGTCCACTGAACAGTGACAGGCGCTGACTGGACCTCCTTTGCTTTTTCCCATCCACTTTGCGAAGCAGGCTTCCATGCTGTTACTGCACAGGAATAAGAGCCCATGTCTGCATCTCGAGTCTGAAGCATTCGCAGGACGAAGATGTTAGACTCTCTCCTGGTCACTGCTATGTCCCCACTGTCCAGCCTCTGCTGGTACTCACTGCTTGCAATAAGAGCTCCTTGCTCATTCACAGAGGCTATAGTGATTTTCTTCTGAGATACATCTCCAGGTGTGTTTGTAGAGTAAGACCAGGTCACGCCCAGGCGGCCATCTTGGAGGTGGAGGAGGTTGAGCACCTCACAGCGCAGTTCAGTGGGCTCGCTAGTGGACTGAGGGTTCAGAGAGGCTGTAAGGGTCACCTTGAATTGCAGCTCTGTGAGAGAGGAAGGGAACAAAGACTTAACATTTGCCTACACCTTTTCAGATGCATTTCCCACCCCATTGGTCAGCCAAACAGATAGTCCCACCTCAAACCCATACCACTGTTCAACATTCAAAGCAATGTTTTAATGACACCACATAATCACAGCATTTACACTTCATTACAGTAGTTCCTGCATTCTGTGTTGATATATTGAGATATACAGCATTTCAACAGAAAAAAAGTCCATCACCATCACATTAGACTAATTTCACAAACTTGTCTTGCAACTCCACAAGACACATTTTAATAGAGTCTCTGATTTAAACTTCAGTGCCAAAATTTGAGTTGGTATGTTAAACTAATTTAATACTGATTCTATGATTTATTTGATTCATCACTCAGTCATTACTGATGTCCCCACATTGCATTATTAGGATGCATTAAACTCATCAAAAGTGACAGAAAAAAACATATTTATTTTAAATGACTGCTGTTCTCTTCATCAAAGAGTAATAAAATGTATCACGGTTTCCCCAAAAATCCAGCACAACTGTTTTCAACATTGATGATAATAAAAAAAAAATATCTGCTTTTTTTCTGAAGGATCATGTGACACTGAAGACTGGAGTAATGGCTGCTGAAAATTAAGCTTTGCCATCAGAGGAATAAATTACATTTTAAAATATATTAAAAGAAAGCAATATCACTGTTTTTACTGTAATATTGTTTTTAATATAATTTTCTCTTCATCAAAGAGTAATAAAATGTATCACGGTTTCCCCAAAAATCCAGCACAACTGTTTTCAACATTGATGATAATAAAAAAAAAATATCTGCTTTTTTTCTGAAGGATCATGTGACACTGAAGACTGGAGTAATGGCTGCTGAAAATTAAGCTTTGCCATCAGAGGAATAAATTACACTTTAAAATATATTAAAAGAAAGCAATATCACGGTTTTTATTGTAATATTGTTTTTAATATAATACTTTTTTTTGATTAAGTAAATAATATAGCCTTGGCGAGCATAAAAGACTTAGAAAAAACGCATCAAAAACACACACAAAAACTTTTGAACAATAGTGTATGCATGTAATTGATGGATTGTTATATTTGTGTGTACATCTAAGTGATAATGATTAAATATAATTAATTTAGAGAAAATAAATATTTTGGGAAAACGTGTTGATTTTTAACTAAATTGTTTTATTTCTTGTTTAATGTGTTTTACTTCATGCATGAAACTTTCTGAATCTTGGCTCCAAATGACTGTTTTCTCTGCCTAAAAATAATCGCCCCTTCGAAGCCATTTCAGATCAAAAAACAAATATCAGAAGAATGAAAAACACTGAGATACAGTTGTTTCAGGTATATCATGCAGTCGTAGTGTCTGCAGAGGTATGGTAGCCGACCTAGTTTTGTAGTTTGTCTCTGGGTAGGAAGGGAAGGGCAAGGGTGCACATTCTCTCAATTTTCAGCTGTCATTGTTCAGGCTATGGTAAGCTCACACACACACAGGTCTGGCTTTGTGTATTCGACACCAGGCCAGCTCACTCACTGCCACTGCAGTCACACATTGTGCCCAGCTGTTGTGTACTTTGAGAAAAGACAACCTGCTTGAATGGTAAGAAAACACTGCTTTAGTTCTCTATTGTACTGTACTCCTAATGACAAAGAACCTGCAGTGATCAAATTAGTCATTGCAGATGATTAACCAGTTCCTCTACTCCATATCTAAATTGACTCATATCACACTATATAACATGCATGCACTTCCTCTAGCACTGCTGTGTCCTCAAACACAGACAGAAACATTTTACACAGACACATCTCACAAAACAACTGTCACTGGGATATAAAAGTGGAAAAAAAGCTTTAACAAAGAGGTCTAAGCCTTGTGCACATTGCATTTAGCAGCATCATGTAGCATAGCTTTGAATATCCTGCTACATGGAAACTCCCCAAGCTTAATTCACAGTGCAATTAGAATATGCAAAACACCGATTAACATTTAACGTTGAGGGAGAAGACTTCAAAAATAAAGCAGCATGTTGCACAGAAATCCTTGACACGATTCTATCACCAGCGGCAAACATGGGAAGAAAAATGAAAGAAAGAAAGAAAGGCAGCAAGGAGTGTGCTGGTGCTCTGCAACTGAACAGAGGCAGAACTCTTAGATTAACAGTTGTAATGTTTCAAAATGAGCCATCAGAATGAGAGACAGAGGAATGCCTCAGAAATGAGGCCTCAAGAGAGGAACTGGAAAGGAGGACTTTGCTACTGGCACTTTAAAGAAGCACATTCTCTTATAACAAAGCCAAATTAACCCTCTCAGATATGTTCTTTCCCCAATTACAGTCCATTCATACAAAACATTATATCACAGAATAAGACATTTCACGTCACTGTAATGTCTATAAGTAAAATGTATTAGTTATCCTTGGGTGAGACTGACATCTTGAATGTACATTAAATGTAACATTAGCAAAATTGCTGTTCATAACTATTATATGTTTTGGCGAACTGGCTAATTCGAATGAATTTGTGCGATCTCATTCATATGCTTTCACACTAGTCACATCAATAACTCATATGAAAACGTCAACTGTGAAAATTGTTGTTTACCCGTGAGACTGGGTTGTATGTTTTCAGTAATGACTCATTATTAATAATGAATTATCAGTCTATCAATTCATTATCAGTCCATCAGTCCTGACTGATGTAAAGTGACAAAATTACTGTTTCATTCATTGCTTTCATCTGCAATCCCTGAAAAATGTTGAGACCGGATAAATGAAAAGACATTTTGAAGCTTAGGAAAAAACAATTTGTAATAAAAAATATATATATATATATATATATATTTCCTGGAGTGTGACACCTCCACAAAACTGAAAGCATGTACAAAAGCAGATACAGGAGTAGAACTTTCTTAAGCTGAAGACACACCTCTTCTGCAAGCACTTAACTAATCCACAACCATAAACAAAGATACTTACTTCAACGGTATACCTTAAAAGTATACTTATCAATTTATATCTGCTCTAGCTTGTAATGTTTACTAGCTTATACTGCAGATATTGTTGGCTCTTTGCGCTGTTCCTCATTTGTAAGTCGCTTTGGATAAAAGTGTCTGCTAAAAGAATGATTGTAAATGGACCTGTTGGAAACAAAATAACTTATCAAAATAACTTTGAAACATCCTCCAGTGTGACATGCAAAACTAATCACATAACATGCCATTTTCATGACCTCATGTTGTACTTTTGTAGATTTGAAAATTTGTCACAACACAAGACCATTTAAAATGATAGAAAACAAACAGTTTGTCAGCTGCCTATACTGCCCAGCCCTACTTTTCATATGTAAAACCAAAAATGTCTTTTTCTCCTGCGATCATATGAAACTGCAAAGCCTGAGAAACTGAGTCTCCTTTCCCTTACATGAGTTGAGCTACTGTAACTGTCAAGCACACCAGGAAAAGAACTGGATCAATCATTTATAGACAAACAACAGGTTAGAGATTACCCACCTCCGCTGAAACCACAGTGAACTATGCACAGACACACAGAGTTAATTTACTCCTACACTGGACTGAACAAAAAGAAAATGGATTCAATGGAGGAGTCTTTAAAGGGGTCATATGATGCAATTTCAATTTTTGCTTTCTCTTTGGAGTGTTACAAGCTGTTCGTGAATAGATAAGATCTCTAAAGTTGCAAAGACTAAAGTCTCAAACCCAAAGAGATATTATTTATAAAAGTTAAGACTGGTCCACGCCCTCCTAAAACGCCTCGTTTAAACACGCCCCCACATGTCTACGTCACGATGTGGGAAGATTTGTATAACACCGCCCAAATGTTCACGCAAAGAAAGAAGGCGTAACTTTATTGTTGCTGCCACCGCCGACGCCATGTTGTGAAGACGCTGTGTGTTTCGAACATACTTTGTTTGGTCTTCCAAAAGAGGACACAACTAGAAATCAGTGGTTAAGTTGTATTTACAACACTGTTCCAGAACAGTTCAAACCAAATATTCAGATGTGTGCAGCAGGGCTGGGCGGTATATCGAGTTTGTACGATATATCAATATTTTCTTTATAAGCGATTTGATATGAGGCAATACTGTTTATATAGATATACAGTAGTTTGATACGAGCGCATCTGAAAATATAGCGGAGGACACGGACTGAGCTGCTGCGGAGAAAGTGCATAATCCAGTTTGTTCTAAACATGTGACAAACTTCATATTAAAGACTTTAAAAACTGGTAATACATCGTTTATAGTTTCGTTTCGGATATAAGTTTAAGCGGCTCGGCCCGTCATATGCTCGGACAGAAAGATTGCGTGTGCCGCTGACAGAGACACTAGGCTACTCGCGCTGTTTAATGTGTTTGAGATGTGCTGTCTTCCTGAAGGCATAACTTACATTTCACAGGTGTATTCTCCATTTGTAAATGTTAGAAAGCCATGGAAAAATTTCCATTTTTCTGAGAGAAGTGCATGAGCCTTCTGCTTTGGGATTCTCCACTAAACTTCTCCACTAGACTTGAGTGAACGAGCGCGCCAAACCTACAAGTAAGTCTATTTTTATGATAGTACTGACTGTAAAGTGATATTAATTTTTGCCCATATCGCCCAGCCCTAGTGTGCAGCGTATAAAGTATGGAGGACTGTTTCCTGATCCTGGTAGAGTAGACTACAATCGTGTGCCGCTGACAGAGACACTAGGCTACTCGCGCTGTTTAATGTGTTTGAGATGTGCTGTCTTCCTGAAGGCATAACTTACATTTCACAGGTGTATTCTCCATTTGTAAATGTTAGAAAGCCATGGAAAAATTTATATTTTTCTGAGAGAAGTGCATGAGCCTTCTGCTTTGGGATTCTCCGCTAAACTTCTCCACTAGACTTGAGTGAACGAGCGCGCCAAACCTACAAGTAAGTCTATTTTTATGATAGTACTGACTGTAAAGTGATATTAATTTTTGCCCATATCGCCCAGCCCTAGTGTGCAGCGTATGAAGTATGGAGGACTGTTTCCTGATCCTGGTAGAGTAGACTACAATGCCGGCTGTTCTGACTCACAGACTGTAAGTATGTTTTCATATTTAAATAATTTGCCACTGATGATTCAAAGGTGAGTTCTGAGCAGTGTAGAGTAGCGCTTGTTGTTTGTCTTTCTCCGATCACAAATGCAGACATGGTTTTATGTAAAAAGACAGTATAAGTCATTATAATCCGTAATTATGTCCCCACTGGATGCAACAAATGCCTCGTTTATACTGGGTTTTATTGGTGTTGTCTCATCGCGCCGGGACACGGCATCACAGTATGGTAGGTTCATAACATTTCCGTCACACGCTTGAGGTATTCGGCCAATCACAACACACTGGATAGCTGGCCAATCAGAGCACACCTCGCTTTTCAGACCGATGAGCTTTGTAAAAATCGACGCGTTTCAGAAAGATGGGGCATAGAGGAGAAACAATAATGTACAGTATGTGGAAAATAATGTGTTTTTTGAACCTTAAACCGCATAAACACATTTCATTACACCAAATACACAAAATAATGTTCTTTTTAGCAACATCATATGACCCCTTTAAATAAAGTCATTAAACTGGTTTTCATATTATAACTTACTAAAACACTCTGTCACCAAAGATCTGCTTTCCATTTATGAAGGGTGAAATGTAGTGCACTCAGATAGGGCAGCCAGTGACTCTGTTTGCTTGGTAAACTTCAAACATCCCTCACACATTGCAGTCTGGAGGCCGGTAAGAGGGTCAGAGATAACATCAGACCCAACGGCAAACGAAACTGACTCAATTACTCACAAACACACCGCTGTTAAAACTTTGTCCAGGGGTACTTTTGACAGCAGGCATCTAGTATTTTTTACATGGTTTAAAGGTGAAGTAAGGAAGGGCAGGGTAGAGTACTCTGTGAGAGAAAGTATGTTTGCACGTCTGAAAGTGTTTGGGACTTTCTGTTCCCTGAGGGAATTTCTGGTCTTGTGAGTATGAGATAGAAACCAAAACAAGTGAATACCTATGCCAGCAACTGTCATGCAACGTATCTCTCAGTTTTCCATGCATGTTGTGTTGTCAGTAAACTATATCTAGCAAAATCTAAGATGGTGTGATCTGCACACCAGAAGGAATGTGGCCATCCACATGTTATCTTGACAGCAAACGGGAGGACGGGGTGAAATAAATCAGAGAAGAATGACGGATACAGACCAAAACGATCACATTTATCGTATATAGTATGAACTCAGAAGACTCAGAAGGGCACAAGTCTGGATTATGGACTGCTTTTAACGATACTTTTATGGTACGCTTTGTCCTTTTGTAGATATACATTGAGCATCCTTAGACATTCCGACTTTGAATAGAATCAGTCATTGCCAATACTTGTAATCCCTCAGGGCCTCTTTACAACTTCAAGTCAAGCTGAGATTAAATGAACACATTTACTGAAGTGAGAGCCACATGAAAGAACTTGGACAGGCAGGAGTGCTTTTAATAAAATACTATAAAAAGGTCACAGCTGCAGTCCAAAAATCCCTTAGAGTCTGCTATCATTGTTCATAATGCTTCATAATAACAGGGACTTAGAAAGCAGCACTGTCTCCTGTCTGGTGTCTACAGGCAATAATTTATCTTACAAATCCCAGCATAAATTAAAAAGAGTTAAATAAATGGTTTCTGTAACCCAGACAACGGTGCTCATCTCAGGCTCAGATGGCAAACCTAAAGTACGTTTACTGACTTTTTAATGCGTATTGCTCACAAAATAGACATACCAGAGTGAAAAGAATGGTTTTAATGAGAAATAAAATAATTTAAATGTACCAAGCTGATAATGAGTGAGGTTTTAGAAGTCAGACAAACTCTCTTTGTCTACACTGCAGGCGAGATTACCAAATAAAGGAAACAATATCAACTTGTAAGTAATGTATGAGCGTATAATGTCAAGTTTGATGTTGAAGGTAGAACTGAGTCTATTGAGCATGCTCAGTTTGATCACTGACTCTTAGTTCTGCAAAACCTTTTGAGTCAGAACAAATCATCTTGTTTATAACTGCCACTATGGCTATTACAGTCTTTACTTGATTTGAGGATTAATGTTTTTATATTTAATATGGAATGGATTAATGAAATGTAAAAGCTATAAAGGCTAAGCTTGAACCTCATATTGTTACTAAGCATGGCCATTGGCACACCACACATCAATTTAATGTTTTGCTTGGTCAAAACATGGGGAATTATAACTTGCTTTAGAATTAAAGTCTAAAACATCTATTTAGTGTGTTTTTTTTAAGTGTGATTAGTGTTTCTTTTGGTTAGGTGTGTTCAATTATCTAAATGTACTTAACTACCGCTAAACAATTTTGAGTTTAGTAAACTTCAGAGCCATGCAGTTGTGTAAACTTCATTATAGTTTATTCAACCCTCTATTTAACTTAATGTCTTAATATACTTGTTGAGGAAGGATAATTTAACTTAAAACTTTCAAAAATTAGTTGGCACAACTGCAACTGCTAAAGTTGAGAAAAATAAAAAAAATGCTTTCCAATTGGTTGCTTTTCGTTTTTTCTTTTTTAAAACTGTATAACACCATCATTTCTACTGGCGAACTACATTACCCATAATCCAGAAGGAAAATCAACCAATGACAGTTGCTACTGCCATTGGAATGGAAATTGTGGTAAAAGTGTTCAGCGGTGTTTGCCTACTCCCATGAAATGTTGAGAATAATGAGAGTATTCATAGACTCTCAAACTATTAAGCTTTTTGCTTTGCTTTTTTTTGCAGGAGCTTATATTATTTATTAAAAAATGGATGGAGAAAAGAGGCAAGGCCACTAACTAAAAGGGGACATCATTGTTGCGCTCTATGTTATCTTACTGGAAATGCCATCACATCTTCTTCACAGTCTCAAGTCATCAAAAATGTAGAATAATCATATCTCATAATAGTACTGCACATTATAACAGAAGGCTACCACTCAGGAGCTCAACATAATACCAGCTATTTTTTAAAGCACAACCTCATAATCATGTTGCTGGTAATGGAGAAATCAGTGTCCCTATGTTTTGTGAATCAAGAACCATAATTGTAGTCACAATCTACTTGCATAATAAGGAATTGAGGAGAGAATGTGATGTGACTCACCTGTGGGTGTAACTAAAACCTCTCCCATTTCCTCAGACTTCTCAAGAATCTTACGCCAGTTTCTTCCTTCTTCACCCTGCCTCACCCACTCTTGGGCCATACACACATACTTCCCTTGGTCTGACGGCTTTGCTCTTTTCAGGACCAATCCATAAAAACCACCTCCACGAAGGTCCAACTGAAGTCCACCATCTGTGTAACGCTGAGTGTAGTGGCGTCCTACTTTGATCTTATTATCCGGCCCAAATGTCAAGATTTCCTCCAACGGGCTGCTCCCTTTCCTGATGGACCAGGTAACGGAGAGGAAGGTGTGCTCTGCAAAGCCCCGTGTTGTGTTGCATTGGAGTTCCACTGATTCTCCCTCAGACACCGCTGACTTGGGAATGGCTGGAGCCACCTTCAGACTGTCCCCGATCACTAGACATAACAAATGACACTTTAAAGCAGGCAGGAGAGGGGCTGAAAGATTTCAAATGTGTGTGATTTCTCACAGTCTGGGTTTAGATCAGTTATACTCGACAACCGTCCGACTGCTCAAAATAAAAATAAATAACAGAAAATAACCAAAAAAATAAAAGATAATTTCATTTGTTGCCACTAGTGCTACAAAAATGACACACTTAACCTTTAAAAAGAGAGCTGGAGTCAATACAAATCCAACATTAATAGGATACGATGAAGGCATTATACTGAATACATCTGATATTAAACTAAAGTTTGGGGTAAGTTAGTTTTTTTTTAAAGAAATTAATTATTTTATTCAGCAAGGACGCATTAAATTGATAAAAAGACATTTTGTAATGTTTCAAAATATTTCTATTTCAACTAAATACTGTTATTTTGAACTTTCTATTGATAAAAAAATGCTGAAAAAAATGCATAATGTTTTTGACAAAAATATTACACAACACAACAGTTTTTAAATTTGGATACATATAATAAATGTTTCT